GAGAGAGAGAGAGAGGGAAAACACATATTATATTATATAATTCATATTATGAAGTTGTGGAAGAGAGTGATTGAGCAATGACTAAAGTATGAAACGAGTGTGTCAAAAATTAAATTTGGTTTTATGCCAAGGAGGTCAACAATTGAGGTCATTTTCCTACTTAAGCAGTTGATTGAGAAGTTCAGGGAGAAGGGAAAAGACTCCACATGGTCTTTATTGATTTAGATAAAGCTTAGACAAGGTACCTACTACCTAGAGATTTAATTTGGTAGATGTTGGAAAAGAAAGGAATCTCCAGATTCTACATTAACATGGTGAGAGATATGTATGAGGGAGCACCAGCTAGTGCAAGGACAACTTAGTGGAGGGAAAGTGAGTTTTCAATGGCAATAAGCCTACATCAAGGGTTAGCGTTGAGCCCATATCTCTTTGTTTTAGTTATCGATGAGTCAACTAGGCATTTACAAGCTGAGGTACCATAGTGTATGCTGTTCACGGATTCATAGATTTGATCGATGAGACTAGAAGTGGCGTCAATGCAAAGTTAGAATTTTGGTGGGATGCTCTAGAATCTAAATATTTTAAAATTAACTAGACTAAGACAAAATACATGGAATGCAACTTTAGTAATGTTTACGATGCAAATCGGGACGATCTCAAGATAAGAATCAATCAGATTCGAACCACAATCTAATTTTTATTAAGAGTGACAGAGAGTGGGGGTCAATTGAATTCTAATATGAGGTTAGATCTACTCAGAAATAAGCAGATCTGCTCTTAGATTAGTGGCAGAGCTAGCATTGATCCAAATGCACGAAATATTGAATGAAACGCCAATAAGATCTTAGATCTAACAAAATAATTAAAAAAATAAAGATAATGAAAATCAAAAAAATAAGGATAAGAAGAATACCTGGCTGCGCCAGTTGGCTTGGCAAACCCGAGGCTTCGAGGAAGCCTCACCCGTATCATGACCGACTGAGTTTATGCCGTGCGTCCTCTTTGTTTCTCTTTAGGTTTTGATCAGGCCTTGGCTTGGCTGGATGGCTTTCTTAACCTAAGGGCTGCATGTTTAATGGCCTAAAGCTAGGAAAAAGGGTTTTCTCAGGGTCTTCTCTCGTATCTCAGAGTCTCAGGTTTTTCCTGGCATACAAGCTAACAACGTCTAACATACGGTTTAATGGCCTCCCCTAAAATGATCTCGAGAATACGTCATTTAAAGGCCAAAAAATGCATGAAATGATAACCTTCTAAAAACAACCAAATCTGCCAGCTGAAATTCAATTTTGGGGGTCAAAGGGGCTGGGCGGCACAGGTGCCGTCCAGCCCAAATCTGAACAAAATTAGCAGTTTCTGATTATAGGGTGATTCATGCGCTTTTGTAATATTGTCTACAAAAAATCAGGTAAAAATAAGTTCTTTTGCTATTTTTACTTGATTTATTATTAAAACAATGGTCCTAAAGAATTCTAGATCATAGGATAGGGATCACGGACTATGGTAGTCTATGGTTTGGGGGTTTTCTGGAATAGTGAGGTCTTAAGGGTTCAAGAATATCACAGAATGGGGTGTCTACAAGTAATAATAGGAAAAGAAACAAGGAAGTAGCTAAGATTGATGGCTAAGAAATAGCTAAAAGCGAGTATTTTTGATATCTTGGGTCAATAATCCAGGAAAATGAAAAGATTGATGAAGATGTCGCATATAGAATAAGAGATGGGTGGGACAAATGGAGATGTGCAATTGGAGTCTTATGTGATCCTCGCATACCAATGAAGCGGAAGGGAAAGTTCTATAGTATAGTTACGAGACCAGCTTTGCTCTTGGGTCAATAATCTAGGAAAATGAAAAGATTGATGAAGATGTCGTATATAGAATAAGAGATGGGTGGGAAAATGGAGATGTGCAATTGGAGTCTTATGTGATCCTCGCATACTAGTGAAGCGGAAGGGAAAGTTCTATAGTATAGTTATGAGACCAGCTTTGCTTTTGAGACGGAATGTTAAGCGGTCAAAAAATAACATATCCATAAGATGAGTGTAGCAGAGATGAAAATGTTGAGATGGATGAGTGATGAGACAAGAAAGGTTAGAATTTGAAATGAATACATTCGGAAGAACTTAGGGGTGGCTCCAGCAGACTTAGGTAGCCTGGCCATGTGCAGCGTAAACCCAATATACGAGTTAGGAGATGTGATTTGGTTCAAGTGAATGGCTCTAAAAGGGCAAGGGGAAGGCCAAAAAGGACATGGACGAAAACAAGTGAGAAAAGATATGGGAACTTATGTTCTCATTGAGGGTATGGCCCTTGATAGAGCATAACCAAAAAACAGGATTCGTGTGGCCGAACCCAAATAGTTGGGATAAGCCTCTGATGGCGACATTTATATTATATATTTCATTGTTTATGGGTTTATAGTCAGCTTGTTCATGGCTTGACTTAGCTTGTTTATGGGCTTTAAGGAAACAACACATGACAAGCCAAGCTCAAGCTTAAGGTTACTTTCCCTTAATCATGCACAACCAAGCTCAAGCTTACTTTCCCTTAATCATGCACAACCAAGCTCGAGCTTACTTTCCCTTAATCATGCACAACCAAGCTCAAGCTTATGATCCGTTAACTAATCCCGCTCAAGCTGGGAGGTTCAAGCTCAAGCCAAGCCAAGCCAAGCTTGAGCATGCACAAGCCGTGCCTCAGCTGGTAGGCAACCCTATCTTCTCCTCATCACTTACTAGTGCTCACCATATTCCCATTTAAACATAAGTTGTATTTATTTGTAGTGAATGCTCCACCATAATAATTTGTTGCTCTTCTTCGTGATGTCAATCATATTGAAGATTTCTCAGTGTGCAAGCAAACTGGAAGAGCCGATAGATTTGATACTTTTCAACCAGGGTAATTGTTTGGAGCCATCTAGAGCCTCAAGTGTGCATCCACCATGTATCATTTTTTTCCACTCTAGATTCAACCATTTATTGTCATTACCTACTAGTGTTCCATTCATGGCACCAAAGGCCAGAACATTTAAATTCTGATAAAGTTCATTTTTTTTTTTCTAGTTTACTTGGTTCTTTTCATTCAGTTCTCATACAAAATTATAATTGTTGGACTATGTTTATGATAAGCAACCACTCCATATTTTATGACATCTCAAAGTGAACAGTACCTCTCGTCTTGACCTTGTGGAGTACATTGTACAGGAAGTTTCTCCCGTTCCATAAAAATTCACTCCAAATTATCATTCACCTCCACCTTCATTGATGATTTCTACACATTTTCTGGATACATTTCATGAAACATAACTCCAAAGTTTATGATGTTTTTCTTGCCTCATATAAAAAACTTTTCAGATCAGACCCAATTTGAAACATATAAAAGAGCCTAGCTCAAATTGTAAGGAAGAGCTTAGCTTCAATAAACTTGAAGACCATCAAGATGCATCCTGGAATACACTGAGAAAAATATGGAGTTCATAGAGACATCCATAGTTCTATTGTTTTACCCAGAGAGTCATCATTATTTGGGGTTCACACCTGATTGAAAAATGATGCTTACACTGCTAGAATAAATATTGAGGCAATTACTTATGTATAAACACAAGCATGAAGCATTCTTTGTGTACATATGACTCAGGTGACTAAATCATTAAGAAGGTACGCAGTCCACATAATGCAAGCATGCGTGTGTGACAATATACAACACAGAAAAAGAAGAGGAAAATATGAACGAGAAACAGAGTAAGAAAATAACTGATAAACGGCAAAACTGACTTAATAAATGCGCTTTAATAACAAATGTTGCTAAAAGAATATATTCCAGTATGTTGGCAAAGCTAACCTTCAACCAGTATGCCCATAAGAAGGGTTTCTGTTCCTGTTTTTGGGTATTTAAGCTTCCTTGCTTCCAACTCTGCCATGCCAAAAGACTTTATAGCCCTAGCTGACCATCTACAGAAAACGAATGCTATAAACAATCTAACAACCTTAAACTAATGAAGAACAATAAATGTTTCCCATCAATGAATCCAATAACATTTTTGGATCTTTTTTTTTTTTGATGGATAACTGTTTCCCAACATTGAATTCTAGTTCCCAAATTTGCGAACTCCATATGAATCCATCAACTAATGAAATGGAATAAAGAAACTAAACTGCAAGCAATTAACAAAAGAGGATGAGCTTACCTAGGAACCTTACCAGAGGAAGCCCTTTCTGGTTTGCTGTAAAAATAACATCATAAAACTTCCATTATTTTTCCCTTTCATTTAAAAACGGTCCTTCTCAACCAAAACGAAAAGGAAAAATAAATGTAAATGTCACTAATTTCCATGAAAACTTACGCGGTAGGCAACATCATGAACACAGTGGTAATAGAACATCGTCTCTTCACATAAGGCACAGAAACCCTAGAACGATAAACCAAACTCTGAGTCGACAAGCTCAAACCTAAGCCTAAACCTAAAGCCTCTGATTTCAATTCACCATGTCGAGAAAGGAAAGGGATCCTGGTCTTATTAGAACCAGAAATCAACCAACAATGCGTTAATAAGGATGAAGATGTGAGAGCTTGAGCAGCCATGAAGAACCTAATTGTTCACTGAAACAACACAGACTGCAACAAAAGAACAGTAAGAAAACCCTCAAATTCTGGGAATGACGAAGGAATGAAAGCACTTATTAGGCCAAAAGAGAGGGAGTTTTTGGGTTTTCTTTACCAGATATTAGGACGTCGCCTTCAAAGATTTAGTAGCACTCATGGTGGTAATAGCAAATGGAGAGAGAGAGAGAGAGAGAGGGGGAGCGACAAGGCCTTTAAACTGGATAGAATTCAGAAGAGTCCACGAGCATGTCTACAGTATGCTCGAGTTCAGGTGAACGGCTGAGATTGGTGGCGTCGGAAACTAAGAAGCAATCGAACCTGTTCGATAGGATGTTATGGTTTTGTCATTGTTTTTACTGAGCTGAGCTAGACTGTAGTGGATAATGTCCTCAAGTACATGAACCATCTCCGGATTGTATACCACAAAACTATTTATCTTTCTTAGGTCACAATTATTTCCATTAGATATCAAATTGGGTTGTTTTGGAGTTTAAGATTATTATTGTTTTTTTTTTTAATTTTGAATCCAATCGATGACACTTTTATAATTACCCAATTTAAAATTTAATAGAAAAGCATGGCTATGTCCTCTGTGTACCCATGTATGTATTGTAAAGATCCACTTATATTGGCAAAGTGGTACAAAATCACCTCCATATGACATTTTCCTATTTGTATGAGGGTATTTTTGTCAATACAAAATAATATTTACTTGGGGGCCATATAAGTTGAGATTTGAGAGACAAACTATTATGGGAATGCTTTTTATGTTCTTACAACATAAAAATTCTATCTTCCCTTTATCCAACCATCTATTTTTTAATGGAGAGTTAAGATTGTCCTAATCACAATGTCACATCTCTATACTATTTTATTTTTAATTTTCTTTATAAACTATTTTGACATCAAATTTTGGAGACATCAAATTTTGGACGTCAATTCCTCTATTAAACTCGCACTAACAAAAAATATATAAGAAAATTATTTTTAATAAAATAAAATGGCCAAATACCCCTGGAAGTTTCAAGGGGTATTTTGGTTATTATTTTTTATCAAAAAATTATTGTTAATATTTTTTATAGGTGCATCCCAATGAGAAGATGACACGTACCAAATTTCATATTCAGAAAAATTGTATTAAAAAGACTAAAAATAAAATACTTTAAGACCTAGGATCTAAGATCAAACGGTGAATGACTCTCTTGATAAAAAATGGACGGCTGAATGATAGGGGAAGGATAGAACTTCTATGTTGCAAAAGGAACATAGAAAAGCTTTCCCATCATTATAGAGTGAATAGAAGTTATAGGAAAAAAACCATTTGGGGTTTGGCTCCTCTCTCAGCAAACTACGGTATTGTTGGGCCAGATTATTGGCATTTCTTTGTAGAGACAAAGTTGGTAGACTGTATCACATAAAGGAGCCCACTAATTGTCTTATTGTAGTAGAGAAATCGATTTAAGCTTTCTCTACTATCGTGTGTGATCTCTATAAAACTCACTAATTGTAATTTTTCTTAAGGCTGGCATTGGGCCAAGACAAGTCTCGGCTCTAGCCCACCCCTAGTCTCTATAAGGCTGATCGAACCCTGCTGGTCCCCTGCCATCTTTATCTTATTCCTTTTTTTCTTGGATTGTACCTGAGCCCAACCCAGCAAGGAGGTTGAGGCCCTGGTCCTATTAGGGTCGAGATGGGCTAGGCCAAATACAATTCAAGAAAAAAGCAAAGATGGAAAAGAATTAAGGGAAAAAAAAGGCCAGGTCGGGACAACCCGAGCAAGGTTTAGCTCAGCTCAATCCTCTAGCCATGGCTTTCAAGCAAATTTTATGGCCCAGACCAATTTTCTAGGCTGGGCGCCCGACCTATTGTCAACTTGATAATGAATTCATCCTTGCCCATCACTAATTAGTCCATTTTAGGTATACCAAGTAAATTCGTATGTCTTTACTTTGTGCGTGTGTTGTGGTTTATTGGATTCTTATTTCATTTGCTTTTGGTCCTTTTTATACTTTCCCATGAGACTTAACGTATAGATTTGTGCCGGCCGTCCCAAATATCTTTTAATGGGGGATAAAGTGAGAACTCTAGCTACCAAACCAAACCATGGCATTGTTGCACCCTTGTATTGGGCCAGGTTATCAGCCTATTTTTGCAGCGACATAGTTGGTAGATGGTATTTTGTTGTAGTAGGGAAATTGATTTGAACTTCCTCTGCCATTGTGGGTAATCTCTATAAAACTCGCTAATTTTTCCTAGGGCTGGCCGTGGGCCAAGCCAAGTCTCAGCCCTACCCCATCCCTAGTTTCTTTACTTAGCTCAAGCCCCACCCAGCAAGGAGGTCCAGTCTAGGTCCTATTGGGGTCGTACCGGCCAAGCCAAATATAATCAAAGCAAAAAAAAGAAGAAGATAGAAACAAATAAGGGAACAAAAAGAGCCCAGGCCAAGCCTTCCAGGCTGGCCATTTCATGGTCTTGGCCCAGCTCAATCCTCTAGCCATGGCCTTCAAGCACATTTTATGGCCAAACCCCTAGTTATTATGAGCCGGGCACACTACTCATGGCCTTGATAATGAATTCATCCTTGCTCATTGCAAATTAGCTCATTTTGGGTAAACTACATAAATTGTTGTGCGTCTTTACTTTGTGTTTGTATTGTGGTTTGTGGGATTCTTATTTCATTCGCTTGTGGTTCTTTTTATGTTTTTCCCAATTCTATTGCACATATTGTTATTCTTAGATTTATTTTTTTTTTAATTTAAAAAAATGGGCTTTTCATTTGGTTAATCTCTTTCGTGGTGTTGGGTTTGTTGTGGAGAGCTCACGACTTCAAACAGCAATTGGGGATATCTGGGTGTTCCAACACCCTTGAATTAAAGTATTTGAAGTTCCTGTGATGACTTAAAAATTTAGTTCCACATATAAAATTTGTGAACACTTAAAATGGACAATTGAAATTATGTACAGTCATTCATCATAGAATTTGTCCATCCAAAATTAAAAGGTTATAATAGTTTTTGAAGATGGTTTCATTATATTACCATAAAATTGTTGTAAGAAATCACTCCCCAATATAGTTAATATCAACTGCATCCTACCACTTCTAAACTTCTTTTTTTTTTCCAATTTTGGACATGTTCCATTGTTTAATCACTCCTACCTGCTTCACTCTTTTAACTGTAGATATACTGTAGAGTCCAAGTTCTATAAACACCCCATTTTTCGAACCGAGAAAATACAATTTTGATACTCAAGAAAGGGAAGCTCTGTACGTGCGAGTTTGGACCTCTTACATCAAAAAATTAGCTATCTCACTATTTTCTTAGTTGTTTATTCTGAAATTTGTTTCCTTCAGTTCTAAATTGAGTCCCAGAACCAGTCCTTCTAGCAGATCTTGTGCCTCAGGGTCCTGTTGAAACACTTTCTAAGTCATTTTTAAAGGTTGAGTTTGAAACTCCATTTCACTCTTTTGGTTTTGCCCTGTTTGAGTGGACCTTATGAGTAAAGTTGGCACCAGTGATTCTTCACTCAGTTGTAACTTCTTTTTGTTTCAAAGTTGTCATCACAAGAAACCGAGATTTAGGGAAAAAAGAAAGAAAGAAAGAAAAATAACTCTTTTTTACAAGTTATTAACAAATACTCGGATCTCCAGTGAATAGAGGAACCAGATTCCCAAGGATTGGTATTAAAAGCAAGTAATAATCTGATTTCGACCGGGATTTCATCCTTTATCAGTGGCAGTCTAAATCTCACTACCCTTGCCTCAAGTCGAAGCAAAATTTTTCCTGTGGTTAACTTGCAATAACTTTCAACGAATCTTTGCATTAGAAGAGTTGTTTTAATCCGATTTTAATCACTGTAATTAGGCATTAATAGGACCCTAAAACCAACAAATGTGACCGTCATTTTTCTTGAACTTTGAGTAAACATGAGAAGTCTTGGCTAATCATGGTTTATAGGGTTTTATTCGCCCGTCCATGCTTATTATCTAAGATTTATCTCATCAACATATTTCGCAAGTTTGGTTCATGTTAAAATGTTTTCGGGAAAACATATTCACATGGAAAATTTCTCTCATGTGATTAAGTGTGAACTGATGTGAAAATATGCACTAAGACCAATTGGTAAGACAATATTCTCACACTAAACCACATAAGAGATTTTTTTCATGTAAAAATGTTTTTTAGAAATATTTTTATGCGAACCAAACATGACCAATTTATTTTTTATTTCCAACTTTCACACTGCTCGTCTTTTGCATGCTCACCCCATTGGATTCCCCTTCCGAATTTTTAGTTATTTAGGGAGCATATATGGTTTTTCTACTATTGTTGTTCCCAAGCTCAATCGAAAAAGGAGAAGGGTTATGTTGGGTTGGCAGCCAACAAAAAACTTTATCACATTTCTATCATGAATCCTGATCCAACATTATATGCTCATGTCAGGATGTTTCTTGTGACGGAGGGTATAGACTTCGATTGAGTGGAATGATAGAACAAAATTCATATAGCCGATCCCAAATAGTTGGGATAAGGTTTAGTATTGATGATAATGATAATGACGAGGGAGCATATATGATGAAGGAGCACCTAAGTGGACCACACATATGTTTGAATTGCTATATGGAGTATAGAGATTAGTGGTCCACGTGCTCAAGGCACCATGTGCTTGATGCATGCGATCATTAGACCTAATCAAATCCAATAGTTAATTAAGTCCCAAGTTAGGTAGTTACCCACCTCCTAGAAGAGCCTATATAAACTAATAAAGGGGTTAACTGAGATATTTTAAATAGATATTTTAGGTAGTTATGGACTCCAATTGTGCTTTTTAGGGGCCTACTTAGGGAATCACTTACAAATTAGGCGCTGTTGTTAATACTTTTTTGGTGTAGGTTTAGGTGGTTCGAGCCTCAAACCTCCGTGGTTGAAACAACTCCCTATTCAAATTTAGTCCTGAAACCACTACAAAGGATGTTTAAGCTTAAAGGATTACAAAGAATCCAAAAATAATAATAAGAGACAAACTGGTTCAATAGAACAAAGAATAAATTTACTCCCTCAAGAAAATGATCAAGTATCGGGGAATTTTCTTGATTCAAAAATATGCGATTGACTTTAGACTCATTAAATCAGATGAGTGCCAGAGCATGATATTTTTTCTTTCCAAAATACACCATCATGATTCGGATCTATCGCTCCAAGCTCTGCGCACATAGATGGGTGTATTTAAAAGGCTAACCGAATTTTGAACGACGATAACATATATACCATCATCAGGAGGTGCGATTAATCTCCACCATGCACACTGGATTTACTTTGTGGTGTATCATACTCCATACCCCACCATGGCATTTTGCTTTCACTATAGTCTATGATATCAGAAATTGGTAGCTTATGTAGTTGGCAATGTGGTACCTCAATGAGATCACATCATTTGTTCCCCGGAGGTGGGACTAAATTTCTAAGTCCTTTCCTCAAGCATTATGAGTCCCACCTACTCCCTAAATGAATACCACTTCCTTGCACTTGTTTTATTGGACAAAATAGATCAAGAGGTGCGTCTAAATCATTATGGGAGTAGCACTTGATCTCTCTCTTTCTCTCTGTCTCTCGTATGGATCAGATGCATCCTAGTCATCATGACAGTCGCACTCAAGAGCTCCCTCCCGCTCTATATATACTAGTAATATGCACGTGATGTTTAATATTGATCGCTGAAACATATTTATTATTGAATAATATTTTCAATTAAACATGATCTTAAATATCATTGAATTTATCATGAATAATCTTATTAAATAATTTTAGATTTGATATTAAATATAATAATAAGGAGGTGCTTTCCTTACTTTATATATGATAGATATGGATGAGATGCGTCTGAATCATTAATAGAGGCACAACAACTCTCTCCCTAACGTTATACAAATTCAAACTGGTAAACATCACTTTGTTGCTCAATCGAGTCCCTCTGATTTTCCCTTTAATGGGCTGGACCCATCTCGGTTCTGCGTTAAGATCAATGTTCGGCCCATTTCAAATGTGAAACAGGCTGTGTGCCTCCGATTGGTCGTCTCGACCTCAAGATTTATGAATATAATATAAAATTTTTTAAGTCCCAAATATAGTGTATTCCTAAACGTATTTGCTTCTAGACCATCCATTTTTACGATTTTAAGATTTTCAAGTGTTTTTTAAACGTATTTGCTTCTAGACCATCCATTTTCATGATTTTAAGATTTTCAAGTGTTTTTTAAACGTATTTGCTTCTAGACCATCCACTTTCATGATTTAAAGACTTTCAAGTGTTTATAGCCCAGCCCTGCTCAATCCGCACAATTTTGGTGCTTAAAATTTTATACTTAGGGGTAGACATAGATTGTTAGCCTATGATTGGATTTCTATACCAAAATTGCATCTTTTGGTAGGGTTTGAAGTTTGAACATGCATTTACTTTTGATTGCTTAAAGTAGATCCCTCATAGAAATTGCACCCAAGTTTAAACGTGGTCCTTATATTTTTTTTGACATATGTTATGAACTTTTATTAAAGCAATGCCGCATGAGATGAACTTTTTAACGTGGTCCATACATTCATCCTTGCCAAGTATCGAAGTGATGGAGTCAGGACTCCTTGTGATGGATTTAGAATCTCAAGCACATTTTAGATAAAATCAGCTCAAAAAGTTGTGCATTTTGATATAGATTGAAGACGTTGCAGTTGGAAAATTATTGTATTATTCCTTGAGAACTTAAATAAACGATAGAAAACAAACTTTAAAAAGTTGCAAAAAGCGTCAACCTTAAACAACCACAACACCAAATGCACACATCAAAATTTTGTCCAAAGATGTAATCTTGATGATGGAAATTTCTATGATAGCTTGAAAATTTGTCTTTAGGGCTTGAAAATACACTGTCCACATAATGTGTTGCAAGATACACAATTTTTAGGGCTTAAAAACTTTTTTGCCCTATATCTATACATCTCGAGGTTGAGATGATCAATTAAAGGGTTCTCGAGTGTCAAAGCCACATTTTTCAATGGGTTTTTGAGGCACGCCTTATTTTTTAAAGTATAAGGTTGACACCTTACATAAACTTTCTCCAAATTTAAAATGGTCTACTTTTTCCTATTCCTCATAATGGTGATCCACCTCTTTAAGTCCGAAATCCATACTAAAATACATTTGAAAATGAATTTCGAAGGGGTCCTTATTTGAAGAGGTGCATAAGGTTTTAAGGAATCATTTTTACTTGCATTTATAGAAAAATTTTATATAAGGTTTCATTCATACACTATTGCATATCAAAAATCCTATTAGCATTCCTATGTTGACCTTCATTGATCATCTTGACATGATGATGTATGAATATGAATAAAAAATAAATTTCAAGTTTTAAAAATTATGCATCTTGTATGAGTTATCTAAACCGTCTATTTTCAAGATTTTTAAATACTTACATATCAGTTCAATCTGTACCATTTTTTTAATTTGAATGTTATAACTATAGATAACAGTTTTTGAGCCATCACAGGGTTTTTAATACTATTTTTTGAATTTGAATGTTATAACTATAGATAACAGTTTCTGGGCCATCACAAGGTTTTTAATACCAGAACAACATCTCTGGGGGTGGGCTTAAGTTATAAGTGGGATGCCTCGTATAAATCTCACCCTTCATTCATTTCACATTATGTCATCCTTTCAATAGAAAGTTTAATTATCTAGTTTCTTAATTTCATTCCCGGAGTTCACCACATCACAATCCATCTATTGAATTTAAGTTTCATTTAATTTTGATGAATTGGGTAATATTTGGTCTAATTTTGATAAATAGGTTAATATTTGGTCCTTCTACGCCTTTTAAAAATAGAGAAACAAACGATGTCATATTCCAGCTAAAATATCACAGGCATTTTCACATGCGCATCCATTTTCTTGCTTGTCTTCCCTAAAATCTCATGCCACCCCTAAAATTAAAAAATTTGCATGAAATTTAGACTTGTATAAATTTAAACTTCCATCTTACCAGTCTTACTTGCTACCAAAAAAATTGAAAATGTTTGAATGATCTTATGAGGTTTTTAGGATTAAGAACTTTAAGATCCAATGAGCGGAGTGACTTTACACAATTGCAAGATGCATCTTAAAAAAGATCAAGACATGGAAAAGTAAATTACAATTCTAAAACTTCGGGTTTATGCATTCAGAAAAGCATTTAAGAAAGGGAAAATAGCTTACAATTACACAACATGATCACAATACATCATCACCTCATATGTAAATTTATAATATTTTTCACTCAGCCACAAAATATAATAAATTAACAAGTGAAGAGATACGGCCACAATCCTAAGTCCATAACCCCAAAAACCCACCTTGTACATACACTCTTCTCTCATCATTTCCAAAATTAAAATTTAAAAAACACCAAAAACCCAAATAAAGACCAAAAGAGTATCCTATCCCTCCCTTTCATCAATCAAATTTTAACCCCCAAAAAACCCAAAAAAAAAACAGAGAAAGGTATGGGTTTCCTTCACAAATTCCAAAAAAGAAAAATGTCACAAAAGTAATTCACTGTAGACCTGAACCAGCAGACCAACAGTTGGCATCCAACCCTTCAGTCTCCACCATCCACGGCTCACAAATTCCACCACCCAACCACTCCTGCAATGACCCAATACCGCCTCTCACAAAACTACCTTGCATGAGACCGCCTTCCTCAAAACCACCCACCCTCTGAAAACCGCCATTCCACCAAGGCTCTCCAAGGCCCCCAAAACCACCGTTAGCAGCCAACAAAGAACTGAACGTCCCCGTTATTTCGCCCGAAGTTTCAAACATATCAGCCGCTGTGGTGGCCGATATTTCAGGCATAGAGGGCGTCATTTCTGGTAAAATAACGGATTTGGATGGTGGTTTTGGCTTAGAAGAAGAACGTTTTGTGGTTTTTCGAGTTGCCCCTCCTATTGGGATGTTACGAAGAGCTCCTCCTTTGGTCCAATAACGCCTGCAATTTTTGCAGAAATGGCGAGGTTGAGAGAGGTTGTAGTTGTTATAGTAGCAGAACTTGGTGTTCGTGGAGTCGCATCGAGGGCATCGGAGGTGTTCGTGGGGTTGATCCAACGGCTGGGGTTTGGTCACCTGGTTTTGTTGTTGGTGCTGATGATGAATGTCCATTGACGGTTTTTTTGCTCTTTTGATAATATGTATTGTCGTGTTTTGGATCAAAATTTAGAGAGACGGAGAGGTGGGTTTTCTTTAAAATTGAAATTTGGTTAAGAGGAAGAAACAAATGGGTTTGATTGCAATTGAAGTTGGAGAAAAATGAAACAGGTTTGTTTGAGATTGAGGTTACGGAAGGGCTTATGTTCTAATCAAAATCCGAAAAGAAGAACTGGTTTTCAACTAGGATGAAGAAGAAGAAGAATTGGGTTTTTATGAAAATTGCAATTGTAATGGAAGAAGAAGAAGGAAAAGAGGAAGTGGGTGTCTTCCAGAATAGAATTACACACGTAATGGAAAGAGAGGAAGAATAGTAAGAAGTGGGTTTTTCTCAGAATACAATTCCACAAGTAATGGAGGAAGAAGGACAGCTGGGTTATATCACACCAGAACTGCAGAGTAAAGCGGAATCACAAACGAGCATTGGCAGGATCAAAACTACAGAAAGAGAAGAGTAAGAAGAGAGAAATGGCTTTCTCAGATCAAATAACACAAGTAGAAGAATCAAGACCAAGGAGTGGTTTTCTTTCTGATAAAGAAGAAGGGAAGAGGAGAAGAAGAAGTGGGTTTTTCTCTCAGATCAAAACTGCTAAAGAAGAAAAGATAGAGAATTCACGAGGAAGGAGGAGAAAGAATGTTAGAAAAGAGTGGGCACTTCTAGAGACACCAGACTATGACAGTGTGTGTGGAGTGAGTGGGGGAGTATTAAATATTGAGGCCGCTGTTTTCATTTCTTTATTATTATTTTATCCGAAAATTCCTGATTTCTTCAGGCGCAATTTTCCATTTGTTTTTTTGTTGTTTTTGCCGGGGGGTTCGTCCTTATTCGAAATTTTCGAGGAGATGTACCTATCTTCTTCTAAAATGACCTCAAAGATCCAACTCGTTTTTAGATATTTTATTTCGGTTCACATTAAATCTTCAAAGAAAAAAGTCAAGTAGGTGCACTTCGCTATTGAGGGAGCATTCTGTGTGTGCTTCAACCTCATGCCATATGTGCTGAAACCTCATACTGCATGAGTTAAGTGCCACTAAAAATTTCAATCAAAATGTTTTTAGCTCCAATATTAAAAAATTTTCCAAATAATTTCTAGCTCCAATATTAACAAAGTTTTCAAATAATTTCTAGATCTTGATGGATATGGAAAAAAATGATTTGAGTTTGAAAAAATTGTATCTTGTACATCTTTATAAGTATCTGAATATGCAATTTTTTATTTATAAATCAATAGCTTTCTTTTCAACTCGCATCATCGTAGCATTTTTTTTCAACTGATTTAGGTTGGGGTTATACCCTCAATAAAGCTATAAGCTTTCGTATCTTTTATCACTACTTCCAGTCATGTCTTTTTGGGCATACTCGCCTTTTTTTAGTTTTTCACTTGAACTAACTCATACCTTTTAAAATGTGTTGTACTGGGTCTCATCTTGTCGTCTATTACATTCATTTTGAATTTTATCATTTCTTGTCTTGCCACTCATCCATATCAACATCATCATCTCCGCTGTACTCATTCTATGGGTATATTGTTTTTTGACCGCCCAACATTTTGTCTCATAGAACAAAGCCAGTCTCACAATTGTTTTATAGAACATGTCATTCAACTTCATTGGTATGTGACAATCACATAAAACTTTGATTGTACATCTCCACTCCGCCCACCCAGCTTTAATTATATGTGTGACATCTTCTATTTCATTAAAAAATAAAAATTATGATCCAAAATTACATCAAGAAACTCTTTTTTAAGGGATGTTGGCTCTATCAAATATCAAGAGAGGGTCTAAAAAGTTTGGTTGTCATGAACGCCAGATCGTAGCCTTTGAATATCCAGTGGTATACATTGCAAGTGCATATACGACATGATTAACTTCATTGAATACATGTTTAACTGTCCAAATACTAATTAACAAGCTTTCAATGACAATTGAGGATAATATTACAAATCTACGACATTTTTGGAGCTCCAAATTCTATTTCTAGGTTACTAAAAGTTTCGATACTACAATTATATCATGTGACAAAATTTAGACACCATTCATTGTTTAAGTGGGTACCTTACAACATCAGCACCCAATCTTCAAATACAATGGAAACTCAGCTTTGAATGGAAAAGGATAAAAAATGACTTAATCAATTATGGAGTTTTACCCTTTGAGTTTAGCTTTTCACTTGAACTCCGATTCGATTAGGGGTGGGAAATTGGTCAGGTTGACCGTTGACCCAATGGTTCGACCCAATTGGGTTTGGACTTCGACAATAAGCCTTATCGCTTATAGAATTAGAGTACGGTAGGTGTAGCGGAGATGTGCAACTGAAATTTTATGTGATCATCGCATATACTAATAAAGTTGAATGACAACTTCTATAGGACAGCTGTGAGATCAGCTTTGCTCTATAAGGCGAAATGTTGGGCAGTAAAAAAACAGTATACTCATAAAACGAGTGTAGCAGAGATGAAGATTTTGATATGGATGCGTGGCAAGACAATGAGGGATAGAATTCAAAATGAATGTGTTTGAAAAATTTTAGGTGTGGCACCAATCTACGATATGATGAAAGAGAGTAGACTTAGGTGGGTTGGCCATCTGTGGTGCAAACCCAATACAACACCTGTTTTGAAATACAAGTTAGTTCAAGTGGAAGGTTCAAAATATACAAAGGGTAGGCCCAAAAAAATATAATTGGAAGTAGTAAAAAAAGATATGGGAATTTATCACATCACTGAGGGTATGACCTTTAATAGAGCAGAATAACAGACTATGATTCGTGTAACCAACTCCAATTAGTTGGAAAAAAGCATTGACGTTGATGAGGATGGCTTGGACAATGACCTTGACGGGTTGTAGTTGGGTCAACTTGACTTTGACCTGACCCAGACAGGGTTTGGGTCCAACTTGGATCCTATTAAGTCGGGTCGGGTCGGGTCGAAAGGGTTTAGGTTCGTGTTGAGGTCAAACCAACCCTGACCCCAACCCAAATCGATCCGACACATACTAGCATAGAATAGATATGAATAATACTACCCATGTGCTATTAAATAAATAAAAGGAAAATTTATATAAGAGTGCAATCTTAAACTATATATTAAAAAATGCTTCTAAAAAATCTATGAAAAAATGTTATTTTAATATTGAAAAATCTTTTAAACTAAACCCAAGTTCAACCCCGTGCGTCAAGGTTGGATCCGATTGATTTGGACCCAACGGGGCCGTCAGCTCCAACTTAAACCTTCCCGAACGCTGGCTTCGGGTCGACCAATTTGAGTTATTTAGAAAGAAGTTAGGGTACTTTAGCCATAGGAAGTAGGGGCGGTGGCAGGAAATAGATGATTATGAGGATCAATCATGTCATCGACATTGTCTCTCTAAAATACACTTCCTCCCTTCTCTCTCTAGTTTCCAAAGTCCAAAATGCCTAGAAATATTCTCTTCGCCCTTTCCGTTACTATTCATCACGCAAGCCAGTTGTTTTTACCTAAAACACCCTTGTCTTGTCCAATCTACTAAAAAGCTCAAGACCTGAAGTTCCATTTCCAAAAACTAAATCAATCTATTTTGAATTCTACACTTCACTTGGTTTAAGATCCCTATATTGGTCAATCGGTTGGGACATGGGTGGTCGATAACTCTAAAATTTAAAAGGGATTTGTATACGATAAGAGTATTTACCTTTGATGTAAGGAGGTCACAGTTAGTTACAACCATCCGATGTGAAATACGATAGCTTAGATATGTCACAAAGTTTGAAAAAATTTCTTTTGAAGTTTGAGCTTGATCAATGGAATAAATATAGCGATCAAGTTTCACATCCAATGGTCAAGATTAATTGTGACCACCTTGCACCAAAGGTAGATGTTCTCATTATATACGTTTCCAATTCAAAAACTCGAACTTTCATATCATCATCATCATCGAGGCTTTATCCCAACTCAGACTTGTATTGTTGGGGTTTGTAATTGACACTAATTTTCAATATTATCAAATTCGTTTCGCTTCGACCAAAGAGGCTAACCTTTTGGTTTTTAAGCATAAATCGAAACGAAGAGAAATGTGGTGTTGCCGCTTCAATCAGATTTGGGCCACTACGAGCTGCTTCGGTTGAAGCCTCAGCCTGTTCGGTCAGAAAAGAAATACCTATATAATTTTTTTAAATTTCTTAAAATTTTTATGTATTTGATATATAAATATCTAATTTATTTATATTAAATTAAAAAAAATCTGAATTATTTTCTTAAATCCACCAAAACATTGAATTGTTTCATTTTTCTCACCAAACCGAAAAAAACTCGAAACAATATTAATTTTATTGTAAAATTGGTTTTACTTGAACATTTTTTTGAAAATTGAAAGTTCGCAGGTTGAAAGGGGCTCCTCTATTTTTCAGGGGCATTTACGTCATTAAAGTTGAAATATAGAGAGAGAGTGCAAGAGATATAGAGAGAGAAAGTGCGCTCGTTTTCTAACCGACTGCTAGCATAGCATAGCATAGCATGGTGGTAGAGTAGTAGAAGAGAGAGAGGGGGAGACAGGCATGATTATGTCGGGCAGCGTGGGCAACAATAATTGGGTAAGATTTTAGAGAGAGAGAGTGAGGGGGCAGCACCAGATTCCTTCGTACGCGCCGGATTTCTAGGGTTCCGTGAGGTCATCTTTTAGAGCGGCTGCCCCAACAGAGTTAGAGAAAGACGAGTCGTGGAGGTAGAGAGAGAAACAGAGCAGACTCCCGCAGGAGGAGAGAAAGAGGATTCTTAAAGAGTAAAGAGAAGAGACAGACAGTAAGGGACAGACAAAACTGTGGAAATAGACTCGAAAAAAAATTGAAGATTAGATTGAAAAATTGAGGAAGAAAAAGAAAGAGAGGGGAGGCGGCAGGTGATCCGTCGGTTTAGAAGTGCAGGTAGGCAGGCGGGCGTCCGAGTCAGGCAGGTGGCGCGGTCAGTCTCAGACCGGCTCTTCGGTCGAGGAAGAGAGAGAAAGAGGGGTGGGGTGGGTTGGAATTAGATTCGTTTTTGTCTGATTTTAGGGTTTTAGCGGCAACATCTCTCAAACGTCTTTTTCGTCTACAAACATTTTCCTTTTCAACGAGACAGCCCTTCTTTTTTGACAAAATAATTTTAAGCTCCCGCGGGAGCAAAAACTTGACGTTTGAACCACCAGGATTCAAATATTTTGAAAGGAACTTCAAATTTTGGTCCAATTTCTGTTTTGCTTGACTAGACAGACGCGTATGGCCGGTAGGTTTCCTATCCAAGGTTGTGGCGTTAGCCGTTGGATTTCCTATCCAAGGTTGTGGAGTTAGGAATTAAGGTAAAGGCAAAATGCATTCCAAGTTGGGTTAAGTTAAAATGTACTCGGATTGTTTATAAAGAAATCATTTACTTCATGCAGGCTGGACCAGTTACTGCATGCAGGCTGGACCAGTGTTTGTAAAATCAAATCGGAATAGTTAACCGGACATGGGCTTAGAAGCGGTTTAACCGGTCTAACCTGTAAACCAGTCGATTCAATCGTTCTAATCGGGCAAGTCCCGAGCAGTAAAAAATTATTGAATTTTTTTTAAAAAATACAAAAAAATCTACTAAAATATGAAAAGTATATAAAGAATAATTAAAACAAAACATATTCAAATGAGGTTGAAAATTAATGAAAAAAATGAAGTTTAACGAATCGATTTGTACCTAA